TGCTGAACCTTCTCTGAGCCTCGGTTTTCATGTCTCCAGGGAAGACATTGTTTCTCTGGTCGTTACATGAAAGGGTTGTCCTGAGGGGTAGCAGGAGGTCTTTCTCTGGTGACCAGCAAAGATTCTTGGAGGGTCAGGATGAGGCCCCATTCATCTTACATCCCCAGAGCCAGGGATGCAGAGACTGACCCAAAGGGATACTCAGAGTATGCTAGGTGGATGGATATGCGGGGCGGTTCAGTTTCATCATGCCCTTCCTGTGTGATCACATGTTCGGGTGGGCTGTCCCGTTGAACGCCGTTGTTCAGGTGGCCCCGTGCCCAGATTCCACCTCTGGGTGACACCCCACCCCCACGGACAGGAAGCAGCCTTGGGGGTTCCAAAGACTTGGGGAGAAAAGAGTGACAGTGACTCCTTCCCAGATGTGCTGGTGTCAGGAGGGAGCCCAGGAATGTAGCCACGTGGCCCGTGAGGAGCACCAGGAACCCTGAGCATCGGATCCTGGGTGGGCTCTGAAGGCATTCAGCCTGAAACTCCACGGGCTGAGAGGTAACCTTGCCCGGGCTCGCAGAATCCCCAGGCTTACCATGAGCCCTGGTTTCACTCTCGTGTGGAGGGCATTGGTCAAAATGTAAACTATTTTCCTTCTGTCTGTTGAGGGTAATTGACGGGAACAGCAGTTGGGCGTCATCCTGTCCTTGGAACAAAATGCTGATTGCACAAATTCGGGTCCTACAAAGATCCTTGAATCCACGTAGACCGCCCCCCTCCCCCCGCTCTGCTATTGTTTGTTTCCTCGAAGACTGGGTGTTGTATCTCCCTGTGGCAAGGGATGGTTTGCTCCTCTGCCTTGGGACTGCAACCTCGCTAAAGAAGGACCCCAGGGCCTCCTCTCCTACTCTCCAGAGCTCACTGAAGGCTGGGCCTCTGAAGGAGAAGGCAGAGGCCTGGCAGTTAGACAAAGCACTTTCCTTTCCCGTAACTCCACCTGCTATCCCTTTGGTCACTGAGTTCCTTGGAGCTTTCATGATTAGCCACGACAGACAGAGAGGGAATCCAAGGAGGTTTAGCCTCCAGGCCCAGACCTGGACCCAGAGCCGGGGCCCCCTCTCAGCCTGGCCCGGTCTTCCACCTGGCAGTACAGACGTGGTCACTGGGGGAGGATCTGGTCTTTGGGGCCGCCTGGGCATGGCATCCACCGCGGGGCTGTTCTGATAAGGCTGAAGCCTTTCTTTCATGTAGACGGCAGAACCAGGCCCGCCTTCACTCACAGCCCATCTCCAGGCTTCTCAGTGCGGCCTCTGGCTGGGAGCCAGGGTTCTGGGGCCCTCAGGAGTATGTGTGTGGGAGGGTGATAGGTCCTGCCTATCAGCGAGCTTGTCAGGTGACCCACATTCCGGCTGTGCCCCGGGGGAAGCAGAGGCAACTCTGGGCTAAGAAATGCACCCCTGCCGTAAGTAAGCAGCCCCCCGCCCCAGCATGGCTGTGTCCTACAGGACCCAATCTGCCATCGGTGACCCACTGGGCTGGCCTCGCCTTGCCCATCCGACTTCCCCCTCACTCCCTCCATCCCAGAGTGAAAAGTGAGGATGGGCTGCACTGCAGGCTGCAGTGGGGAGACCAGCCCCTCCTGGCTTGTGGTGGCAGTGGCGATGGGGCACGGAGAGGCCAGGGAAGGACAGCAAGGCACAGGGAGTTTAACTTCAGGGCTTCCCCATGACCTGTAGGTCACGTTCATTTGCTCCCTTCAGGAAGGGACCTGGGCAAAGGCTGAGCTTGGCAGGGAGAGCTCTGTAAGCACCACCCTCCTCCTCCCATTTGTCCAGCTCTGCAAACAGCACCATCTACCCAGTTACTCAAACCAGGAGCGCATTCAATCCATCAAGAGGTCGTGGGGCTCCTTCCCGAAGTTGTTTCTCAAGTCTGTCCACTTTCACCCTTATCCGAGCCACCAGCATCGCTGTTCTGGACACTTGTGATGGCCCAGCTGGCCTCTGGCTCCTGTCCCCACCTCCTTCCAATCCTGTTCCTTCACTGAAGCCAGTATGATCTTTAAAAGAGTAGATCAGTCACATCATTCCTTTGCTTAACAACCTTCTATGCATTCCCAGTCCTCTGAGATTGTTATGGGCTGAATTGTGCCGTTCCCCCCACTCCCCCGACCCAACATTCATTTACTAAAGTCCTAGCCCCCAGTACCTTGGAGTGTGACTGTATTTGGAGATAAGGCCATTCAAGAGGTAATTAAGGTAAAAGAAGGTCATATGGTTGGGCCCAAATCCAGCGCACTGGTATCCTTATAAGAAGAGGTTAGGACACAGGCACACACAGGGGGAAGACCACATCTACAAGCCAAGGAGAGGGGCCTCAGAAGGAACCAACCCCGCCGACATCTTGATCTGGGACCTCCAGCCCCCAGAATTGTGAGGAAATAAATTTCTGTTGTTTGAGCTGCCCTATCTGTGGAACTTTGTTACTCAGCTCTAGCAAACTAATACAGAGACTACAATCCAGACCTTCCCATGACCTTTAAGGCCCTCCATCCTGTCCCTGCTTTTCCCTCCCTTCACGTTTTGGCTTCACTGTCACTCCCTAAGGGAAGCCTTTCCTGACCTCATCACTCTATCTCAATAGAGGTCTGCTCTCGTGGTCCCCTGCCCACCTTGTCATCCTCCATCATAGAATGTTAGTTCTTTCCTTCACAGGCCTCCTCCTGGTTTTACGTATCCCATTTCATTGCTTTTGAGATGCAAACTTGCCCCATGTTTGAACATTTCTGAGATTTTCATGCATTATGGCAGTCGATGATGTGTCAGGCCTTAATTGCCAGCCTGTGTCCTTTCTTAGTGATACAAAAAATAATGGTGACTCTGATGGCAACTTAGATTCAGTGAAATGTGGTGCAAATGTGTCTGTGTGACTCTTTGTTTACTATCTCCTCCTCATTCAGCGGCTAACCCCATAAGGACAGGCTGTTCCAGGGCACTTCACCACCGACCCATTGTCTCACACGGTCCCTGGGACCAAAGTATAACTCATGTTGAATGGATGTCATCCTTGGAGATGACAGACTGTCACTCTTCCAGCAATCAAATGTTGGTCATTTTAAATTAGGGCTTTGAAGCTGGCAGTCCATGGTTGGGTTGGGGGCATTCACACACCTCACTCCTGCAAAAGACGTTAAGAATCCAGGTAAAAGTACAAGTTGACCCTTGAGCAGCACGGGCGTTAATCTGTGCATAATTCATAGTCAGTCCTCCGTATCCGCCGTTCTTCTGCATCCAATGATTCAACCAGCCATGGACCGCGTGGTACTGTAGTAGTTACTGTGGAAAAATATCCGTGTATAAGTGAACCCACACGGTTCAAACCCACGTTGTTCAAGGGTCACATTAATCCCTGATTGTGCTGCACGTTTACCCACCAGGAGAGAGGCTGTGCTGGAGGAAATGTGCCCACCCACCCTCCTTCCTCACCCCAGGCCTTTGGTCAGCTACCCCAGAATCCAAAGGAAGTGAATTTCATCTTTGGAAAATGTCACCCAATTGGGAGGGGCTCCTGAATGAGAAACCTCATTTATAAACTCCCCGGGCAGCTTTTTTTGCCCTTAATCTTTTGACTGTTGCTTAAATGGCATGCTGCCCTTTTGTCCCTCTGCTGGAAAATTCAGGGTGGCTGTTTCTGCAGACGCCTGTTCCTGGTGGGCTGCATGGCTCTTTTTTCCTGCAGTGAATGAGCACTGGCTTCCCAGTCTTCAAGGCTCCCTGTTCGAGGTGATGCCCTCACCAGAAAAGCCTGGAATTTTAACCTGGAATGGAGGCCAAGTTTGCGGTGGGGTTTAGGCACGTCCAGCCACATCTTTTAAGACAACTAATCCCACCTCCCCCCCATTTCCACCAAGGAGCGAGTCACACTTTAATGTTCACAGGGGGCTGGGGTGAGGGCCCAAGGGGCCGGGTGGAGGGGGCGGGTGGGGGGCTTGGACAATGAGACAGTGAACACTCTGTGAAGTTCACCCTGCTACCCTCTGTAGGAGGTTCACGAGCAAGCATTTCCCCGGAGCACAGCCCCTTTATCCGGGACATCCCAGCTCCAGGTGGGCTCTGAGAGGCCTGAGGAAGACTGGCCGGCCATTCATCTGTGACGGGCCCCGGAGAAAGTATGCCCATCTCCCCACTGGAAAAATAATTCCCATTCTTTCCTTAATCCACAGGCTGTGGCTGTAAATACCTGAGCATGCAAACATCTCCTTGGGGCTGGTGGGGATTAGGCCGAATCAGCCTGGCCCACTGCATGTACAGAAATGAATAAACTAGGGCCCGGGGTGGGGAGTCACAGGTGACAGCGAGAGAGTGCGTCGAGGTCTGGCCACCGAGGGGCAGACCAGCCAGGCGGCTGAGCAGGCCTTCGGAGGGCCCCACCACGCCTCTCTCCTCTGCAGGCAGAACCCCAGGAAGGCCCTAATGTTGATTGCGTGCGTCTGCCTTCCCCCAACACCCCTCTACCATGAAAGTCCTCCGCTGGGAACTTTCCAAAGGACTCTCTCCTCAGAAGGAAGCTCCAGCTCTTTATCCTCCCCTTCCCGTGCTCTTTCCTGATGCCCTGCTCTTTTCCTGAATGTCTCTGGACATTTGTTCTGGCATCACCCACAGACTGCTCACCCAGAGGCCCTCCCTCCCTTCTCCCTGTGGCTCCAGCCCCACCTGTCTTCAAGCTAAAGTCCTAGCTCCAGTTCCGCTTCATTCGCGAGGACCTTCAGTCGTCAAACACTTGCTTACGTTGACTTACACCCCCTGCTCTGGTCTAAGGGTGTAGTCCGTGCCAGAGGCAGGCATACGTGCTTACGGTGAGGCAGAGGGATGCACTGCAGCAGAGGACGGTGGGCACCTAGCACCTAGTACCTAGGACTAGAAGCGGGACATGATGCGTGCTCTCTGATTGGGTAATCTGGGCGATGCAGGACCCCTAGGAGAGGAGAGGTGTACGGGTGAACAGTGAACGCACAGGCATGAGGCTTGCCGTGCTGGATTAGTTTGAGGACCGGCGAGAGGCTCTGTGTGGCTGTGGCTGGGGAGGGGAGGGTATGGAAGAGCCGGCTAGGAGGTCATTGCTTGGGGAGAAGACGCTGGGCCTGGAGAGCAGGGTGGGCAAGCACCACATACCAGCTGGGTGTGGGAGATGAACGGGGGGCGATGCCCGGCTTTCAGGCCGGGGTATCTCCATGTGACTGTCTGTGGGGCAAAGGCCCTGCGAGCAGCGGGCTGAGCGGGCAGGGACAGCTCTGTGTCAGTGAGCCGCAGACGGGGCCCCAGCCTCACGCAGGGTCTGGGATCCCCAACGGGGCCTCGCTGAGGTCAGCCCGGGCCTGGGGTTGGACAGAAGATGCTCTGGCCCGCTTCCCTGGGGATGGCACATGGTATTAGGTACCTCTGTCGGCTCCCTCTCCCTCGTCCAGGTCGGCTGCTTCCTGAAGACCCCGAGGTTCCCCATCTGGGTGGTGTGCAGTGACAGCCACTTCAGCGTTCTCTTCAGCCTACAGCTGGAGCTGCTGCAAGATTGGAGGACCGAGAGGCTCTTTGACCTGTACTACTACGATGGCCTGGCCACCCAGCAGGAGCAGATCCGGCTGACCATCGGTGCGCCGCCTTCCCGCCTGCCCTGTCCGTCCCCGGGGAGCCTCCAGACCAGTCGGGGACGCCGGCCTTAGCACGCCCAGTCAGGGCAGTCAGAGAACAATGCAGACTGGGGGATCAGAGGGCGAGTGTGCGCAGGTCCTCCTGCAGGAGGGGGCCAGAGCTGGGCCTTAAGAAACTGATGTCCTTAAGGGTACAAGGTGAGGTTGAGACTACGTAGTAGACGGTATCACGACAACAAGTTTGGGTTTTATTCTCCGGGCATTGGGGAGCCATGGAAGGTTTTGGAGCAGGGGAGTGGTGGGCTAAGACATGTTTTTAGAAAGAATTATTCTGGTAGCTGAAAGGGGGCAGGAGAGTAGGGTGGAGACTGGAGGTGGGAGCCCAGTGAGCAGGGACACCTGTGGTGTCCAGGTCAGAACCGATGGGCAGGAACCAGGGAGGGTCCAAATAAGAAGAGAAGAGGGGCAGGTACCGGAAGAGTCAGGTCCCAGGAGTAGGGTTGTTGGTGCTGACCTCGGGGTGAACGTGGGTCCCGGGCTGATGAGCGTGTGCCTCTCTCTCCCCGCTCCCCAGACACCACCCAGACCGTCCCTGAGGACAGAGACAACGACCTCGTCCCTCCCCTGGAGCTGTGCATCAGAACCAAGTGAGTCAGGCCCATCTGTGGCTTTGGGGCCTTACCTGAGTGGCTGGGAGGAGCAGTGGTTGGGAGTGGCCTGCAGGAAGGGGGATGGGTTCCTGGATTGTCCCAACTAGGAGGGGTGTGGTGAGGGGCCGGTAGGACCCCTGCAGACTGCAAAGACACAGTGCTTTGGGCTTGTCTGTGTGTGGCATTTTGCGGTCGCCATGGCCCAGGGAGACGTGTGCGATTTGCGAGATGCCTTGACTTCAGATAGCCCCCAAGATGCCCCGTGGCAGGGGGTGGAGGTGAGCTGGTGCCTCTTGAGAGCTCCCCTCGTTCCAGGCAGCAGCTGCCAGGTGTGCTGAGTGCTGTTAGGCCCACAGGAGGAAGAGCTGGTGAGGTTACCTGGTGGTTGGCTGGTTGGCGGTGGAGCTCGGGCAGGATCGGAAGGCGGGAGGACCCGGCGCGGCCAGGGTGTGCTCGGAGGCGGCTTCCTGGAGCAGCGGCCCTCACGCGGGGGGAGGAGCAGCCCCGGTCCTTCTGCGGGTGCGGCCCTCTGAACGCTGAGTGGAGGTGCCCCAGAGGCAGTGGGGTTGCCAGCGGGGGTCCTTGGCTCGTCTCACCCAGCCCTCAGTCTTTAAGGGAAGCTGAGGCTCAGGCCAGGGGAGGCGGGTGAATAGGAGTTCTCTGAGCAGGCCCCAGGGCTGGGGCAGCAACCGCCCCCCCCCCACCCCCACCCCGGGGACTGGCGGTTGTAGCCATGGGGAATCACAAAGCCTTTGGGTGGTGACTTGGAGGCCTCAGGGCGCAGTGGGAGGGGCAGACCTGGGCTGGGGAGGAGGCCTGGATTCCAGTGGGGCAGCATTAGAACTGGCCAGTGTGGTGAGCATGCGTTCTGGCGTTTGAATCCTGGCCTCGCTGCTTTCTGGCTGGGAGCCATCGGACCTCTCCTGTCTGTACCTCACTTTGTCATCTGTAAAATGGGGGCAGTGGCTGTGCCTGGCTCACACGGCTGTTGTGAAGAGCGCCCGGGACATTACCAAGCACGGAGAACCACTCTCGTTAACATTGTCTCAGCCGCTCCTGACTCGCTGTGACCTCAGGCGGAACCTCTGTTTTCCTGTTTGTGAAATGGTGGGGTTTGGGGTGGAGGATATAGGCCATGGCTGGGGCCCTGCGGCTCTGACCGCCTGCGATCCAACGGGCTCCCCTGGAGTCTAGGGCCGCTGCCCACCCACGGGCAAGTGAGCCCTTGAATGGAGCCAGAGAGAGAACGAGGACTCCACATACACAGTCCCCGGGGACTGTGTCCCCAGGGAGGGGACATGGAGGAGACGTAGTGACATCCTCATTATGCCCCACCCACGCATCCACCTGCTCATCCGTCCACCTGCCCGCCCACTGGGCCAGGGACGGAGCATTCCTGTGGGGTCACGTGCAGGTGTTTCTTTCATCGGGAGGATTAAAGGCACATGCAGGTCGCTTTCCTTTCATGTACAAGGGGCCACTCATTCAGAGTGATGAGAGAAGGGCTGCATGGGGGAAGGAGGTGACACCGGCCTTGGCACCTTCTGCAGGATGGGGTGGGAGGCCACAGGGCATCCTGCCCGCAGGAGGACCTGCCCAGCAGGGCTCTGGACCGCACCCTGGACACAGGCTCCACCCCCACCCCGGACCCCTGGGACCCCTCGCTGAAGGCCTACATCTGTCTCTGTGCCCCTCCCTGGGGTGGCCCACCGCCCCGGACCTCTCCACCTGCCCCCATCTGGAGTAACTTCTCTTTCCCCAAGAATGCTTCTGCTGCAGGACTCGACTCACCAGGCACCTCCCAGGGGCCTGGGGATTGGACTTCTTGGGCTCAGCCCTAATTGGCAAGTGCTTGAGAATGACTTGGGGCTCTGATCTGTCAGGGGGCTCAGTCCAGAGACACCTGAGTGTGAACGTGGGCCCGGAGCACCTCTTCTTCTGTCAGCTGTCCCTTCTCCCAGAACCTCCCCCTGTCCCCGGGGCCATGTGCCATGAAATGAACCAGCGAAATGACGGCATGTGAAATGATCTGGAGAGGCTGCACGCATCAGGGAGCGAGCCCTCGGCCTGGGGCAGGCGGTCCAGGCTGAGTCCCTACCCTGCCCTTGTCTGTCCCTGCTCACTGTCGTGGGAGGAGCTCGGGCAAGCTTGAGCCTTGGCATCTCCTCCAGCAGTGCTTCCTACTCCTCGGCACAGATGGCAAATCATCGTACTGGGGCAGCACACAGGGTTAGGGACAACTGGCTTGGGGACCCTGGTTGACCCAGACTCTGCCCAGTTCCCTGATGGCTGAGGGGATCAATGGTCCAGCACGTCTGTATTCGTCTACGGCCACCCCCTGGGAAGATTTGCTAGAGCGTGATCATCAGGGTTCAGCGGGCATCCCCGCTGGAGGGTGTGGTAAAACACAGATTGCTGGGTCCCACCCCTGGGGCTTCTGGCTTGGTAGGTCTGGGCTGAGGCCTGAGAACCTGCATTTCTCAAGAGTTCCCGGGTGCTCCTGGTGCTGCTGTCCTGGGACGGCACTGTGAGAACTGATGTTCTGGTGGCCGGTGAGGGCGGTGCCTACCTCTCCCTCACCCTCCCTGGCTGCCTTGTGAGAGTCAGATGTCAGGTGAGGTGCTGACCCTCCAGCATCTGGTCTGCTGTAACATACCAGACCCGGGGTACTTTCTTCCTGGCTCCGCTGGCTGGCCCCTGCCCCCCGCCCACCCTGGTCTGAGTGCTGCATCCCCTGCATGGACTTTGCTGAGACCAGTTGTACTCCCCCCGTCACTTGCTCCACCTTGGTGGCTCGGTCCATCTGGGCAGTTAACACGGTTGAGACTTTTCCCAGCATCGTTCCCGGAAAGCTGAGTGGTGAGTGAAAAGTGGGAACGCAGGGTTTTTCCCCCTCTGTACCCATCAGATAACATACCCCACTGTAATGGGAAACAGCAGGCCCAGCCTCCTCTGGAATCCTGTTCCGAGGGCTTGGATTACAAAGGCTTTGCGTATCGTTTTCATCCCAGATTCTCAAACAGCTCAAACGGAGAAACTTGGGAAAGTAGCCTTCAAGGTCAGAGAGACCCGCTAAAGCTGGGGCCCTGCCTCTTGGGGGATAAGTCCTGCTGCCTTGACAGGAAGGGCGTATGGCCCGAGCTCAGGTCATTTCCAAGGCCAGTCAAGAGTCCAGGCACCCGCTGAAAGGCAGCCGAGCGCTCATGGCAGGGTAGGCCAACCTGCGGGCTGGCGGGGTTTCCCTCTCATCACTTCAACCTCATGGAACCCCTGGACTGGACTCCATGGAAGAAACAGCTGGATGAGATGCGCTTCTTGCTCTCAGAGTTCACAGTCAAATAGAAGTCAAGTTCAGAGTCAACTCTGTTCTAATCCAGGGAGAGATGCGCCGCCTGCCCTCAAAACCACCTCTGTTGCCCCATAAGAACCTCTGACATTCACGCTAACCCACATGGAGCACGCCACATCCCTGGCCACCTGGCCACCTGGCCACCTGCTTGGGATCCACAGAAAGGCCCTTGGACACCGCCCGACATGGCCCTTCCTTCTACAGATGGGGTCGCCGGAGTGGAGGTCTGACGCCAGGCCACGCCTCGAGTCAAGAGCAGTTCAGGGCCTGGGGCTTAGGCTGGTGCTGTCCCAGCCCAGTGGAAGGTCACTGAGCAGGCACTGTGACTTCCCGCCACCTGGCTTTGTTGCCACGGTGACACTGCACAAGACCAGACTGCCAGTTTTGCCTTTGGAGAAGAGCATCCTAATTTGAACCATCCCCGGGCCCCGTGCTGTCTCCACTCTCTGGTGTGACGCACACCTCGACCTCAGAGAAGCTCCTGTTACCTTCGCTTGTGTCTGTCCCCCAGCCTCCTCCCTCCTCTGTTCTCTGACCGTCTCAGCAAAAAAAAAAATAAAAAAGACTCATTTATGGTCATTTCCAAAGAAGACACACACAGTGACATCTCTCAAGCTTCCAGCCTCGCTAGAATGGGAGAAAATGAAAGGGTTGTCAACAGGCCAGAGAAGAGAGGAAAGAACTCATAACTGGGGCCTGGGCCTGGGCGACAGATGTTTCTGTTTGGAGGCTCAGACAAAGAATTGAAAATGTAATTTCAGCTGGGAACGGTGCCTTTGAGGGGCTGGAGCCGAGCACCTACCTCCCACGCCTGCGCGCCCGCCCGCCTGAGGAGTCTGCTGCAGCATTCACGCCTCTGCTGACACCCTTCTTCCAAGATGCCCTCTTCACAGTGCCTCTCACCCACTGAGGGAGGGCTCCTGGGTGCTCCCACTGCCCAGCCCCCTCTTGTGAGTCCCCTGCCTGCAGCCCACGCGCACAGCCGCCCCTGGTGCGCCTTGTTCGTGGCACGTGCAACGCCACTGTGCAGAGCCGAGCACCCAGCAGGAGTCTGGAGACCCCAGCTGCGTCCTGGCTCTGCTGCCGTCACGTGGCATGACCTCTGGAAGGGCTGGCTCTGTCTGGACCTCAGTTTCCCCATCCGTCGGTTGGGTAAAACGATGCCTTCCCTGAGCTGCTATGAGGTCGAGAGGAGACGTAGAAGCATTCCCTCTCCTTTGGAGACCTCAGGGGGCTCACAGGCAAGTGGGGGGAGGAGGAAGAATGGGAGGAGGCAGAGGGGAAGGGACGAGAGAGCGGAGGTGGGCCATGGACAGGGCTCGGTGAGCACCGGGCTCAAAGGGGAGGGAGAGTGAAGTGTGTTGAAGGCTCAGGTTTTCCCTCTGGTGCCTGGGCCTGAGGAGGGGCAGGGCGTGAACAGGGCCTGTGTTCCCTCAGCAGCATCCCTGGGAGCCCAACACGGAGCTGGAGGTCTCTGAGGGGACGGAGGCAAGTGAGACCAGCTCTGCCCTTTAGGGGCTCACAGTCTAGCAGGAGAGGGAGACCCCATGACAGCATGGCCGGGCAGGGCCTGACAGCAGTGCTGAGGGAGGGTAGTTCCGGAAGGAGGGCTCCTGGATCTGACCCTGAAGGAGGAGGGGTGGAGGGGAAGC